TCTGTCCAATGACGTGATCCTCAGCCCTATCCGTACGTGACTATAACATTGTCTGAGAAGAAACGTTAACGCCACTGGCGTTCCGCGGGTCATTTCTGAATGTGGTGGCAGTCACGAGTGTGGTGTTTTGCTACAATAAAGAGAAACCTGTCTTCCCTCTGTGTGGTGGAACGCTGTCGACCACCTCCATGTAGCTGGGTAGCTGATAAAAACGTCTAGTATCGATTCAATCCCCTGCTGAACACACTTTGGCCAGATATTCTAGAGTGATTTGACCCGGGGACTGGGCCACCTACATCACCACCAGACATGGGTGTATACTTTATTTTACTAGGCAGAAACACCGTGTCTGTAGTCACTCGGAGTGTGAGTGATTGTGGGGTTAGCACTATTTAACAGACCGTCATCCATGCATTGATGTTCCAAGTAGGCGTTAAGCTAAAGATATATACAAACGTTTGCGATTTTAGTGAAGTTTACGCTAACGGGTGCAGTATTGCAAACCAATGAATCGAGTTGACACTCGAATGTCACGCCGACTGACACGCATGGAAAAACCCGAGAGTTATATGTACCCCGTGTATGTAGCCTGGTGAAGGGACAAGAGGTAGCACAGAAAACGTCGTTGGAACCGATGTCTTATTGTCATGTCTTCTATACATAAAGAAACTCAAACTTATTGTGAACTGAGACGAAATATTGAAAAGGTGTGAAGGTATGTGCACAACTGGAACAAACATTACTATCTGAGGAATTAACGTTAATGTTAATATGATAGAGGAATTACAAAATCTAAAGAGACTCGGAATTCATCCATAAAAAGCAACCAACTGACATATCAGCACTTGTCATCTCTGACACTAAGCTGTTTCCGACGTGTACTCGCACTGGAACTGCTCATTTCAGGGTGCTGAGCCAAACGCATTCTCCTTTTATACCAGCTATATTTATCCCCGTGGCTGGTCATAGATTGGCGGGGCAGGTATCGATCATTGACAGCCCTCCTACCTAGCGAGCATTGCGAACAACAGTCAGGGTGGCGGCGGTTGTCGGGGTGGGGTGCCGCCGTATAGAAGGGCAAAAGTTGGATTGTGTTAATTCAGGCTTATCGTCAGCATGCACGTCAATGTCAGGACAATGTAAACCTAGTCGACGTTACTGTTTATAAATGTAGTTTGTGGTCGTGTATCTTGTTTTACGGATGACCTTACACCAAGCACTATCGCTTCTCCCCACAAGAGCATGTAGATATTCTAATGCTACGTGGGTGATGGACGTCACAGATAACGAGATATTCATTTGGTAGCGTTCTTCACAACACACAAATATCACGCAATTTTGCCTACGGCCATTAACAAATATGAACATTTATCTAACTAGTAAAGTTTGAGTATTAACAAAATACCGAAATATAGTGTTTTTCATCCCTGCACGCTTGTATTTTTCCGTCTATATGTCCGAGGAAAACAACTGGTCTTTATCTAAGCAACGACAATCTATAAGTTATTCAAGATAGCATTTCCTTAGAACTCATGAACATTTTGATATCGTCCAACATAGTTTTATAACGTTCCATACCACCCGATATCTTACTATATCGTCCAACAAATTTTTATAACGTTCCATACCACCCGATATCTCACTATATCGTCCAACAAAAGTTTATAACGTTCCATACCACCTGATATCTTACTATATCGTCCAACAAAGTTTTATAACGTTCCATACCACCCGATATCTTACTATATCGTCCAACAAAGTTTTATAACGTTCCATACCACCCGATATCTCACTATATCGTCCAACAAAGTTTTATAACGTTCCATACCACCTGATATCTTACTATATCGTCCAACAAAGTTCTATAACGTTCCATACCACCTGATATCTTACTATATCGTCCAACAAAAGTTTATAACGTTCCATACCACCTGTTACTTTACTATATCGTCCAACAAAGTTTTATAACGTTCCATACCACCCGATATCTCACTATATCGTCCAACAAAGTTGTATAATGTTCCATACCACCTGATATCTTACTACATCGTCCAACAAAGTTTTATAACGTTCCATACCACCCGATATCTCACTATATCGTCCAACAAAGTTCTATAACGTTCCATACCACCTGATATCTTACTATATCGTCCAACAAAGTTTTATAACGTTCCATACCACCCGATATCTTACTATATCGTCCAACAAAGTTGTATAACGTTCCATACCACCTGATATCTTACTATATCGTCCAATAAAGTTTTATAACGTTCCACATCCGTTTAATGAAGAATAAAGTACAGGGACAACGAGGTTTCATTGTTAATACTGCAGCCCTCACAATAACACCAATACACGGAGCATATATCATTTCATAATATTATTATATAACATCAACAATACATACATTGTTATATATGCCACAATGAATTGTACGCCAAGAAGCATGCACCACAAATGAGGTATGGTTTTTGAAGTAATTCGTGGTATGTTTTACATTTACTCCAGCTGATGAATGAACTGATAACAAGTCTTTGTGTGTTCCAGGACACGGGAGGCCTAGTCACCTAAGTCGCTGCTATTCGATTGGTAGTGTCTTGTGTGTGTTAATACTTATTCTCTCTCTCTCTGTGCCTTGCATGTTGTATTAATATTACTAAAAACTGCCCTTGTATAAAGTCTTTGATAGATATTTAGAAGTCGGGATAACAAGAATACATGACGTTTTGTATAGATAACAACTTCTTGTATTCTTTGTCAAGACGTTTCAGAGCTACTTCTAGCTCCTTCATCAAATGAATGCTTATAGCTTAATGGCTGGCTTCTCATTAACAGAGACCAAGGTATCTACCTACCCGGTGTGTACTCCACTGTGCTGTATATTAACAGAGACCAAGGTATCTATCTACCCGGTGTGTACTCCACTGTGCTGTACATTAACAGAGATCAAGGTATCTATCTACCCGGTGTGTACTCCACTGTGCCATATATTAACATAGACCAAGGTATCTACCTACCCGGTGTGTACTCCACTGTGCTATACATTAACAGAGACCAAGGTATCTACCTACCCAGTGTGTACTCCACTGTGCTGTACATTAACAGAGACCAAGGTATCTATCTACCCAGTGTGTACTCCACTGTGCTGTACATTAACAGAGGCCAAGGTATCTACCTACCCGGTGTGTACTCCACTGTGCTGTACATTAACAGAGACGAAGATATCTATCTACCCGGTGTGTACTCCACTGTGCCATATATTAACATAGACCAAGGTATCTACCTACCCGGTGTGTACTCCACTGTGCTATACATTAACAGAGATCAAGGTATCTACCTACCCGGTGTGTACTCCACTGTGCTGTACATTAACAGAGATCAAGGTATCTACCTACCCGGTGTGTACTCCACTGTGCTGTACATTAACAGAGATCAAGGTATCTACCTACCCGGTGTGTACTCCACTGTGCTGTACATTAACAGAGATCAAGGTATCTACCTACCCAGTGTGTACTCCACTGTGCTGTACATTAACAGAGACCAAGGTATCTACCTACCCGGTGTGTACTCCACTGTGCTGTACATTAGCAGAGACCAAGGTATCTACCTACCCAGTGTGTACTCCACTGTGCTGTACATTAACAGAGACCAAGGTATCTACCTACCCGGTGTGTACTCCACTGTGCTGTACATTAACAGAGACCAAGGTATCTACCTACCCGGTGTGTACTCGACTGTGCTGTACATTAACAGAGATCAAGGTATCTACCTACCCGGTGTGTACTCCACTGTGCTGTACATTAACAGAGACCAAGGTATCTGCCTACCCAGTGTGTACTCCACTGTGCTGTACATTAACAGAGATCAAGGTATCTACCTACCCAGTGTGTACTCCACTGTGCTGTACATTAACAGAGACCAAGGTATCTACCTACCCGGTGTGTACTCCACTGTGCTGTACATTAACAGAGATCAAGGTATCTACCTACCCAGTGTGTACTCCACTGTGCTGTACATTAACAGAGACCAAGGTATCTGCCTACCCAGTGTGTACTCCACTGTGCTGTACATTAACAGAGATCAAGGTATCTACCTACCCAGTGTGTACTCCACTGTGCTGTACATTAACAGAGACCAAGGTATCTACCTACCCAGTGTGTACTCAACTGTGCTGTACATTAACAGAGACCAAGGTATCTACCTACCCAGTGTGTACTCCACTGTGCTGTACATTAACAGAGACCAAGGTATGTGCCTACCCAGTGTGTTCCCCACTTTCAGGAAATCTCCTCAACAACCTCAAAGGACATTGTGACTGCCTCACTGTTTGTGTCACAATAGCCAGATCCTTGTAACCTCCAGAGAACCTAACTAATCCTTTCCATAATCCTATTAATGTATTTGGCCCCGTCATTACATTTTTATCTTTGTACATTAATCCTATGTCACTGGCTTTGTCATTAAATTGTTATCTTCGTACATTCATCCCACCAGACCCGTGAAGATTCCGGGGTAGAATAGGTCTTCGGCAACCCATACTTGTAAAAGGCGACCATGCTTGTCGTAAGAGGCGACTAACGGGATCGGGTGGTCAGGCTCGCTGACTTGGTTGATACATGTCATCGATCCCAATTGCGTGGATCGATGCTCATGATGTCAATCACTGGATTGTCTGGTCCAGTCTCGATTATTTTACAGACCGCCGTAATATAGCTGGAATATTGCTGAGTGCGGCGTTAAACAACAAACAAACAAACAAAAAACATTCATCCCACCTTGTGTTGTGTAAAAATATCATGACTTGTAAACGCTGGAGTGAGCGAGTGAGTATGGTTTTACGCCGCTTTTAGCAATATTCCAGCAATATCACTGCGGGGAACACCAGAAATGGGCTTCACACATTGTACCCATGTCGGGAATCGAACCCGGGTCTTCGGCGTGACGAGCGAACGCTTTAACCACTAGGCCTCCCGACCGCCCCTGTAAACGCTGGAGAGATTACTGATGATCAGATGCACGTGTCAGTCTGTTTACGATTACACTGCCATGTCAATATATATGAACTTTACTGGAAATTTGATTATACAGTGGGATAGACAGATTGCGGAGACTGACATCACTCACAGCAGGCAGGTATCCCATAACATCACACACGGGCTGACATATCTTGTCAATGAAGGACACTTTGGCGAAGGACAAGTCTAGTCGCCATTTTGAAATTATTTTCTTAGAGTCTCGTTTTACGCACAAAGCGTCACAGACGTCATTTGTCTTATGAGTGATATTTTTTATGTAACTTTTTATCTTGTCTGTAAGTTCAAGATCTATAAAGTCAAATATCTCTTTTGCCATGATGAGAGGTCTTTCAGCCAAGTCTTCGTAACGCATCGTGGCGATACGTCCAGGAAATCTTCTTTTCATTTCCTTTGAGTCTTCAATGTCCTGCTTAACTCTTGTGCAGAACTGTTTTGCGGATGGACCCAGGTCAGCCCATGGAAGGTACCCGACACTATTCTGCGACAACATGGTCGCCCTTGGGTCCCGTATCAAATGCAAAACTTTCATGTTGTCATATTTACTCATTAGGTGAGTCACGTTTTTCACTCCTATCCTGATGACTTTCACAGAGGACACTCGCGACTTCTTACATGCATTTTGCAGTAGCATGGTGCACTTTTCAATCTTCGATTCATACCGCTTATCGCGAGAACAGATGTAGTAAGGGTATGTGTCGGGACTGTGTTTCATGTGGGCCTGGGCAAGAGTCGACGCATCCGTCATGCTCGTGTTGCACGTGAGAAATCCCTCAAGGGTTGACAACCTGAAAGTAGGACTCGCTGAATACTTTTCTCTGTTAGATTCACAGTAAAACACGCTTATAACGAACTGACCTTTATAACGAACTTTTTTTTTAGTCCCGACCATTTGTTGTATAAATGCTGTATATATGCCTATAACGAACGACGGTTATTGCGAACTAAAATTAGTGGTCCCTTTGAGTTCGTTATAACCGTAGTTTACTGTATGTTATACTGCCACCGAAATTTGTATTGCCACTTTATTGTGTACTGCCATTATAATCGCCGTGCAGTAACTTGTATTGATTTATAATACAATTATTGTTATTTGTATACTAGAATTGTTTGATAGGCATTACTTAGAAGTGACGGATGACAAAATAGACACAATTTATGGATAACAACTTCTTTAATAACTCTGAAGGCGACGTTTCGGTATAGACAACGGTATAAAGAGCTATACCGAAACGTCGGCTTCAGAGTTATTAAAGACGTTGTTCCCACATTCCCCCTCCCCTCTGGATCCGCCTATGGTTAAAACTCGCACATCGTGCCGAAGATTACTGACAATGTTCGAAGCCAATTCAAGGAGTCCTTCAGCGTCACATTGACGTGTACTTGCTACTTTTCCTCGTTAATCGTCCAGCTTGCCTCGTGCGATAACACCGTTCTGCCAACGTCTATTTTACGGACGCATCGTTAGCTCTCTTTTCCGTCCTCCCTTCACATGACCAATATGAGAGTGGCGGAATAGTTCTGGGCCAAACTACAAAAGATGTTTTGTACACCCTTAACAGTTTGTATGTATTAAGTACACGTATGGTCCTGCTTACAGGATGCATCTGAACCATTGGACACAACCACCAGGCGCACATGTCTGCAGCCATCAAAGTTGATGTAGGTGTTCTCTGTTGATGTAAATGGACAAACTTGGCTACCGTGGTGTCATGAAATATATCTAGCTCCAACAGCCATCCATGCAGACACGTTGTCAACTTTAGCCTAAAGTTTAGGTGATGATATTTTTTCAAGAATTTCTTTCTTTGATACCACCCCCGCCAGAATATCAAATGGTCGGCCTCTAACTGTAATAAACCCTCTCAATTGTGTGTTTGTTTTGTAGCCTTCAGATAACCATGATTTCAGAGGTGAGGTGAACTGGGATTTATCGTCGCAAACAAGATAATTGCACTTATATAGCGTCGTGCATGTGTGTGTGTGTGTGTGTGTGTGTGTGTGTGTGTGTGTGTGTGTGTGTGTGTGTGTCTGTCTGCTTGTACTAGTCCGGACTGATGCCGATTTCATAGTGGCCTAATGAGACTATTGTAAACATGCTTACTGTTTCTGTAAGTAATCCTGTTTTTCCCCCGCCAGTCTGTTCTGGCGTTCCACGTCATGAAGCGGCTCAAACACATAGAATACATCCGGGTGCCTCTGGACAATAGCACCGGTGAAAGAAGACCCACTGCGCATGTACGTCAGAATGATCAGCATCGTGCTCTGCTTCGTCCCCTTGACAACACCTGCAACAATGGCGGTAGTAGAATTTGAGAATTAACAGTACGAGCTACAAGTTGGTGTGGAATATTTAAAGGAAATAAAGAAAGGTGTATAAAATATCCCGATGGACTCGATGGTGAATATTTTTCTCTTGATACAACTTTATCGATATCCACTTTGTCAGATCACGAGATGAGAGAAACATGTTATTGGCCTTGATCACCGCACGTCAGTCTTCATAGAAAACAAATACCCGAAATAAAAGTAGAATTTCTATGCAAATTCGCTACACCTGACGAAATACAATATTTGTGTTTAACGACATCACCCAGCGACATACACTCTTACGTTGTATGTTGTTGCTAGATATAAATTGAAAATTGATGTTTCCATTTGTCATTTGACCAGTGAAAATAACAACAGAGGCTTCAACATTCCACGGACATATACTTGGATTTCGGAGGTGAGGTGAAATGGGGTTTAACGTCGCGTCCAAGATTATTGCACTTATATAGCGACGTGCATGTACGTGTGTGTGTTTGTGTGGCTGCTTGTACTAGTCCGGACTGATGCCGATTTATAGTGCTAGCTCACTGAGATACCATGCCGCAGTTTAACATGAATACCCCACTCAGACACAGTATACTGACTCCGAGCCGACCAGTTCTTGTTTTAGCCACTTAATGCCGAGCGCCAGACAGGGTAACAACAAGTACCATATTTTAACGTCGTTTGGTAGGACGCTGCCGGGGATCGAACCCCGGACTTTCCGCTTTTCGGGCGGACGCTCTACCACTAGACCACGGAGGCGGTCCTTGAATTTCGGAAATAACAGAGCGAAACACACATACACAACAACACCCATGTTTGATGGTGGCTAAATGACACAAACAAGGCATGTTTATACGGGTAACATGGTTTTGTTTTGAACCCTAAGTCTGGAGTGTTTCAGCGACTGTTTTGATCATGTTTGTTGGTCAAATCCAATTTCCAAGTGTATACTTCCTATTGCCATGCAGTTTAGTTCACGTTTACACAGTGGGTGAATGAGTGAGTTTATTGACCACCGCTTAGATCGGAAGGGTTGTTGGTTCAGGATAAAACGTTTTTGACGGGTGCAACAGCTGGCGCAGGATACGCTCACCTTTTCGCGAACACCTGGTATCATCACTATGATAGTGACTCATAAACACATGCTCATACCATAGGCTTTTTAAGAGATATTTCAAGTGACCCATTCAAACTTTTTTTCATCACTATTTTGCCCTTTTCGCAGACATTTGATACTTTCGCTTTCACTTAGACGTTCACCATGTTGGTGAAACCCCCGAGCACGGGTAATTACTGACAGTTTTACACAGAGAGTCTGGTGTATCATGTAATGTGTCATCTTCCCGAGGCGAGCGTGTCCACTAGCCTATACCAAAGCCTAGTTTCTACCCTTGGCACATAAAGGCCTCTTTTCCTGGCTCCACCCTGGCGCCACCTCGCGTAGGTCAGGAGTTGTGCCCCTTGCAATGATAATGCGAGATCCAACCAGATCGCTGTTCTTATCTCGTCGCTTCACACAGATGGCAAAAACGAAAGGCGACGACCGAGTCGATCCGATAACAACAACATTCGCGATTTCATCCCCGACACAAACCGTTGGGGGTTTAAAAATGAAAAAACAAAACATATTCGTGTCAACATATAAAGACAGCGTTGAATCACATTCATACGAAGGTGTGTTAGTCGTGGATGTTGATGTTGTGAAACGTTCTTTGATTGGACTATCGATATGTGCGATAGTCCAATCATATTTAGAACAGGAAAGTGGGCTTGATGTGGCAAGGGTGGAAACAAGACTTTGATAAAATGTCCCTGCCTCAGGAAGATGGGAATGTGTAACCTGCATGCGAGAATACACATGTGGTGTACCCATGTGCTAGTCTTATATATTAAACAGTACTTTTGCTACAAGAGGTGTCAAGGCGGATCGGGTCGTGAATCTCATTGGCCGCACTGCTTGCAGGTCATGATGACCGGATGCGGTCCCTACATGCTTATGCTTTCAATCATACTTTCATCAGACGGTCTCGTTCTCTCATCAACTCATGTATTTAATTAACTTATCAACCGCCTCCGTGGTCTAGTGGTAGAGCGTCCGCCCGGAGAGCGAAAGGTCCGGGTTTCGATCCCTGGCCGCGTCATACCAAAAGACGGTACTTGTTGTAACCCTGTCTGGCGCTCGACATTAAGGGGCTAAAACAAGGACTGGTCGGCTCGGAGTCAGTATACTGTGTCTGAGTGGGGTATTCATGTTAAACTGCGGCATGGTATCTCAGTGAGCTAGCACTATAAATCGGCATCATTCCGGACTAGTACAAGCAGCCACACAAACACAAACATATACACGTACATGCAAGTCGCTATATAAGTGCAATAATCTTGGACACGACGTTAAACCCAATTTCACCTCACCTTAATTAACTTATCAGGTCGATAACGATCTGTACTCCAAACAGCTTAAATTTCAAACTTGAAGGTCTAATAGCCACATCAGCATTACCATTCAACCTTCAAGTGAGTGGGGTTAACGCAGCTTTTAACAGTATTCCAGTTATATCACGGCGTGTCAGCTTAATGTGGGAGGAAAGCCCGAAGTTATGCAGGTCTCAGACGTTTACCACTTCGGTGAAGCCCACAAGCATTGGTATTGTGCTGACAAACCCAGAAACATAATCGGGGCGAACCATCGATCCTAGGTTACAGGCGTGCCCAAGGGACGCAACTCTGAACAGCAAATTGCGGCGCCTCAGACGAGTGGGTCATCCGTGCACCTTTCAACCAAACGAGAAGTTTTCCTGAATAATAAGTAATGGTTAAAGGTAGAATATAATGTGCTTACCAGTTAAACTGTGTCTTTGAGACTTGTCGATGTGCTTGATGTCCTTTCCAACAAGGTGGTCACTTATCTCTGAAATAGGCATGGTTACGTATTACATTGACTTTTAAACGTCAACGCCAGAGAAAGCTCAGTCTATAGATTATTAGCAGAAATAGATTCCACTCGGCGTAACAGGTAAAATTAAGATAAAAATTATTTGAATGATCACAGAACATCAGTGACGACACCCGGTGTTCGGCATTGGGTAAGCATATCCTGCTCTGCCGGCTGCACCCGCCACTAACACAATTTGCATAAAACGTATGTGTTTGTTGTCATTCGCCGCACCTACCACCAAGCGAGTGTGGACTCGACAATCCAGTGATAGCGTGTCTGGACAAGATAATCTAGTGACATAATATATAGCACGTTTGCTAATTTAGTTAAAACTAAAACGAAAATTTAACTTTTGCCTACTAGAAAGAGAATCACTTAAGAATGTGTTTGTTTCATTGTATATGTGTGTGTGGATTGGGGGTGAGTTGGGGGATGGGTTCGTGTGTGTGGGAGGGGGGGGGGGGGGGGGGGGGGGGGTGTCAGGTGTTACTGTCTCAAGGCCCCAACATTTTAACATTTTTGGGAAACCACGGAACGCACATAGAAGTCCAGCTTTCCAGACGATTGTCTTTGGTAACGTAGTTGGGATGGATATTTTCGGTTTCGGCGTCGGTATGCGCGGGGTCTCACTGTAAGGCAGGAATTATATTCATTGTTGCAAGAGTTGCGTTGTCTCCGTCTGTATCTAGTGGAAGTATACAGCAACTGGGGGTGGGGTGGGGAGGGGAGGGGGCAACATACTCACCGTGAACAACAAATACTACTGCACAACACAACACAACCACCACTATCTTCAGCTGCCGAAGTCGCCACATGATGAAATAACTGTCCCACTGTAACACAAATACACATAAAACGGCGTGTTTGGGTTACGGGAAAAAAACTAACACTTACCATTTACTTCCTTTAAACTGAAGCGACAAAACCGTGTCCATTGTACGATTCCGACCATATCATACATGTACCTAGGACAAACTGACTACTCACCGTCATCAAGATGACCATAGGAACAATTTACTGGGAAACGTTTTCATGTGTATGTCAAAGATTCGCTAGATTAGCGAGATTTACAAGTGTACAGTAGCACATTTATAAAGATGTGAGATTCACTGATGTACAGTATCACTCATATGAAGAAATTTACATGCTAATATAACAATACACGAGCTGAAGGTATAATCGTCCTGATTAGACTTCTCTCTGATGTTAAACGTCATAACATGAAGGAACCCAATTCGTGTTGTGTCATTCTTGCTTGACTATCTATCTATCTATCTATCTATCTACATACATGTATCTATCTATCTATCTATCTACATGTATCTATCTATCCTGAGATCGAATTTGAAGATCACATTTCAAAGTGTTAACTTGACCGTTCAAACAACAAGCGATACGTGACAAATATGTTGAGGTAGCATTGCCAAACAAAGTGAATTGTACTCACATTTTCGCTCTTCCCTGCTGCCCTTCTGTAAGTGATCAGACTGTCGGCGATAGCAGTGCGCGCGCATCAGTCACAGGTGTCACATTAAGAAGGTCACATGTGCAAACGGTACCGTGTAACCGAATATTCTGGTCCTCTGATATTAAACTCCTACAAGTTTTAATCAATTTCACCGATAGAAAAACAGGCGGCTGTAAATTATATATCAAATCTGGAGGCTAAAACGTCAACGCCAGAGAATAACAAATTTCGAATATCTGCCAAAACAGACAATGACAGAAAATAGAATCCATATGGGTATAGATTATTTAGATAAAAGCTTGTCTGCTGTGCTATATGAACATCCAGATTGCGAAATTAATTTTATTATCGACGACAGCAACAGATGTATTACATGTTTAGACGACATGTATCGGACGTATTTGACGTACCCAGCAGTACCAGCGATGATAATAATTAATAATAATATAATGCGCCAGATTCTATTCACCAAGTGGATGCTCATAGCGCTACTTTGTCAATGGATCAGTGAGCACTCGATTTTCATTCTCAGCTCCCTGGGGAGTATACAACCCAAGCTGCCTGTGAGGCGCTAGAAGGTTAACAGCCACATTACCATCTCATCCTACCGGGTACCCACTCACTGCTGGGTGAACAGAGGCACATTTCGAACAAAGTCACTTGCCTAAGGAGACACCACATGTGGTATATGCGCTTCAGTGTGGGGCAGGACCGAAACCCTGGAAACTCTCAGGAGTCAAGCTGCTGAACGTGGTCACCCATCCAACTACTCTCCGCGACCGGCTTTGCTTAACTTCACCTCATTTGTAATCTGTGTGCTGTGCACAGGACCACGTGCCACCACAATGTGTGATGTGTGTGTGTGTGTAAAGAAGACGGGAGGGATCTGGTAGACTTTGTGTTGTACGTTTCTGTCCATATTGTAAATGGACGATTTGCTGGGGATAAGGAAGGATCATTTACTTGTTTTAAGGATGGTGGCGCTAGTTTGGTTGATTATGTACTGCGCTCAACTAGTTTATTAGACAACATTTCCGACTTTGGCATACATACTCGATGTGAATCAGATCACTTTCCTATCATACTTACCCTCCACTGAGGTGATAGACAGGTCGGTAATGGTAATGAAATGCATGTAAATAATATTCCTAGCTATACATGGAGAAATGAAAGTTGTGGTGCCTTTAAACATAATGTTTCTGAGTCATTGTCTGCACTTCACATGGATGAGTTGATGCATTTATTGTCTTTGAATGTTGATTTAGCTGTTGAAGCTTTGACCAATGCTGTACATAATGGCTCTATTTCATGTGGATTACTTTCTAGAGCTAGAAAATCAAAACGTACATCTATAGAAAAATGGTACCATAAAGACTGGGAGAATATGAAGACTAAAAAGTTAAATGTGTTAGATTCTAAAGTTTAGATTCTCTCTAAATATTCTACAGTAAGGAATTGTTACAGGTCTTTATGCAGGAACAAAAGATTAGAATACGAAGAGACTTGTGTTCATGAACTTGTAGACAGTAGTGGAGATAGTAAATCATTCTGGAAAAAGATAAGTGCATTGACAAAGAAGACAAGTTGTTGTCCTGTTTCCAACAAGATTTGCCAAGACGATTTGTTTGAGTATTTTAAGAATATTTTAAACCATACTGATATACTTGTGGACTGGGATATTATTGAGCAGGTAGATAATGTTATAAATAACCATAATAAACAATTGTGTGATTTCTGTACTGATGATGATGTAAATAATATTCTTAATGGAGATATTACACAGGAAGAGATCGAATCATCCATAAGAGATCTGAAGCAGAGTAAATCTGCAGGACCAGATGGTATTAAGGCTGAGATGATCCAATGTTGCAGTATTGTTTTAATTCCATATTTGTTAGTTATGTATAATACTATTTTGTCAACGGGTAATTTTCCATCCGAATGGGCTAAGAGTGTTATTGTACCATTCCATAAAAGGGAAGCTTTGACTGTGTTGATAATTGTTATAATAGTGTTGATGAGGCATATCTTTGATGGATATTTTTGGGAAGTTATTCTCCTCTATTCTAAATGCGCGTCTTAAACGTTTTTTTCTGATCACTTTAACAGTATACCTGAGGCCCAGGCAGGATTCAGGACAGGCTAATGCACAACGAAATTTATTTACTCTGCTATGTCTTGTACAAAAGTATTTATCGAGAATTGGTGGACGTTTTTACTGTATTTACATGTATGTAGACCTTAAGAAAGCATTTGATTCTGTTAATAGGAAATTACTGTGGTATTCAATAATGAATAAAGGTGTTCATGGTAAATTATTCACTGTACTGTGAAATATGTATTCGAATATAAAAGCAGCTGTAAGAGTATCCAACGCTACTATTACTGATTATTTTGATAGTTTAAGTGGAGTCAGACAAGGTTGTGTTATCGGCCCGTTTTAATTTGCAATGTTAATTTCAGAATTTCAATCCATGATGGAAGATGCAGATGTAAGAGGTATATTCATAGGTTTGAACTACTGTTATCATTGTATGCTGATGATTTATGTATATATATTTTGATGAATATTATAAATCATGGGGCTTACAGATAAATATGGTTAAGACAGAAATATTAGTGTTTCGAAATAGTGGTAATTTACGACATTATGAGAAGTGGTATTTTGATTGAGAGCAACTAAAGACATCAACTTATTATAATTATTTAGGTATTGTGTTTTCTACCAGGTTGTCATGGACAGTGTCCACAAATAGTCTTGTTTCAAAAGCCAGTAAAGCTCTGTTATAAAGCAATTACAGCATGAATACCCAAATATTAATGTAAATATGTTATTTAAGTTGTTTGATAATAAAATAAAACCTATTTTGTTATATGGGGCGGAGGTGTGGGGCTTCCATGAAAAAGCTGTTACTTAAAGATTTCATAATAATTATTGTGAATATGTATTGGGTGTTGGTAAACATGTACCGAGTAGAGCAGCTTTAGCCGACTGCGGTAGACATGGACTTTATATATATTACTACCAAAAATGTGTAAAGTACTGGTGTAAATTGTAAAGAATGTCAGATGATCGTTATCCACAACAATGCTACCTACATATTAAGAAGTTAGATTCAGCAGGAAGGAAGACATGGGCATCCTGTGTAAGATTGTTGTTATACACGTATGGTTTTGGATATGCATGGGTTAGTCAAGATATTTGAGATATTTAATATTTTCTGTCGATGTTCAGACAGAGATTAGAAGATTGTTGAAAACAAAACATTTTTGGTATTATCAATGATTCAAAACGACCTGCACATTATAAGAATATTAAGTCGTTGCTGACTGTTGAATATTATGTTACAAACATCAATGTTAGGGAATTAAGAAGATGTATATGCTTGTTGAGATTGCATGATCTGCCGTTGCGTTGTAATATCACATGTAAAGAAGCTATAACTGTTAACCGAATTTGTAGGATGTGTAATACTAATAACACTGAAGATGAAATAAGTACATGCCGAAGTTTCATATTTCATCAAACATTTGTAAATTTCCTAAATTACTGACTTCTAATGATGTGTCAATCCTTAAATGTGCTAAGTTCATTAAAGAAGCTCTGAAATGTAAATATGCACTTGATAGTAAGTATATTGTGTCAACTACCGCTTACTTGTCATATATATATATGATATTGTTGTATCAACTGTGCACATGGGCCGATGGCCTACAAAACAGAAATAAACTTACTTACTTAACAGATTCCACAGGCATACAGGCAAAGTAGTGCAGATGGACGTTACATGAATGGACCCCTGAAACTGACGTTAAAAGGATGAAAGTTGGACTGCCGGTGACATCCGCCACTAACTCAATTTGATTAAATACAGAAGTGCCAATGAGTAATGGACTGTGAAAACTCTATGTAACTAAAACTATTCTGGAATGACTTAATGGAGCCTTTCATAGTGGCATCTTGATGAAAAGTATAGTTGAGAAAACAATGTGTAAATCCTTGGAGCTCTTTATCCGAGTCAGAAACATCTTGATCAGTCTGAAACTGTAAGTAAATAGAGAATCTCACCCAAATGTGTTTTGATATCAATTATATCAAAACGAGTTGATATATTTGATATCAAAAGACACGAGGATGAGATTTTATTTATCATCCAACATCATTCTTCCAACTTTTTCAGTTTGTAGACAGTAATAAGCAGTGTCTTCAGTGTAAAAAGTACTGCTAACAGCTTCAGTAGCAGAGCCATTAGTGATGTCATTTGATTGTGACGTCATGGTAACCAATGACGTCACAATGTTCTGCAAAGCATTGTGATGCAATTTGATTGTAGCAATTTCATTGTGATCTCACCCAATCGATATCTCCTGTGGGAGCCCGTTTTGGATGATAAAATACAGTAAACAACGTTTATAACGAACACGCTTATAACGAACTGAAGAAAATAAGGAACTTACTTTATTGTCCCGACTATTTTTGGTTGTTCTGCTGTGTATATGCTTATAACGAACTACGGTTATTACGAACTAACATTAGTGGTCACTTTGAGTTCGTTATAACCGTAGTTTACTGTATATAGAAGGAATCAGTTGCATGAATGGAATTAACAACTCTTATACAAATTATATTATTTGTACATGCAATCCCTTTAGTGATTAGGTTGCATAACCTACATGTATGGTATTTAAATACTGATAATATGATCATTATTTTTGCTAAATAACAAATACATAACAATACCAAACCCTTTCCGTATTCAAAAAACAAATCTCTACCAAAAGCCGTGCCGATTGTACGTTTCCGACTTATCATAAGCATGTGTTTATGAATCACTATCAAATAGTGATGATACCAGATGTTCGCGAATAGGTTAGGGTATCCTGCCCCGCCGGTGGCATCCGTCACAATGACATGCAAAGGCAAATCAATTGTTCGCCTGAAACATGGTACATAGTACTCCACATGTCTACAATAAAACGTCTTGAGAGCTTTACTGAGGCATTG